AAAATGAAGTATTTTACAGTAAGTTGGACGCTGTACATTAGTAAGTACATAACTACAGGTGTGAATAACAGACATGAGATTGTACTTACTGAGCATATCCATGAGTTGCTGCATTAGCCCATGGAATGCTGGGAAAAACTCTTCATACTGTTGTAGTCTGGATATAACACTAACAAGAGAAACAAACAAGAATCGATAATTGGTCTAATAAACGATCAAGTAACCTTGGAAACAAAGTTGACATAAAATATCTTTGATACTAGATGAGTATTGAACTCCACAAAGCAAAACATATTTTATATATATTTATTTATTCAAGGTACAGAGGTCACCTGTCTAAGTACAAGATGTCAAGAATGTATTACAGAGCACTTAATAACTGTTTATGCTAAAATTTGCACGATAACTAGGATAACAACCCAGAACACAAATAAACATAAACTTGCATTACAATAACACAAAAAATCTATCTTGTTGAATTACTTTTCTTGGTTGCATAGAAAATAAATTTGGCAAGGTTTCTAACAACAGTCACATTAATGGTATTCATTAAATGAATAAATTGTGGGGAAAATAAGAACATTCTCTGGGATATGTGTAGTTTATTCTCAAGACATTATATTTTTCACCGTACTCGAATATGGATTCTGTGTGATGTTTACAACACACATAAAATACACAAACTTCAACAAAACTTTGACTCATAGATATATAGCTCACTCATATTTCCCAGCTAAATGAAAATATTAGAAAATTATAAATAGGAATGAAGTAAGTGAAATAAAAATATGAGTGAAATATGGAATAAAAATAGTATGTTTTGTTTTATGTTATTTTACCATTGTTTTCTACGGTCGTGATGATAGCACAATATCTCAACTTTTTGCTCAGTAATATTCAGCCGTGTAGAAAAGCATAATTGCAAAATACTGTAAAATGACTAATTTTACTGGGTTTAAATTTCACTGATTTACCATTTCAGGCATATTCAGTGGGTTTTAAATTCACGGTTTTATCATTTAGATAATGTGTTCTATGCACAATTTTTCACTGGGTTTTAATTAAACGCAGTTTCCAGTCAACGAAATAAGCAAAATTAAAACCCAGTGAATAATTAACCCTTTATAGTATATAGTAATTTTAGTGGTGTGTTCATGACAAAATGTTTTTTCATTGTGGTCTATGAAAAAGGCTTTATTTTGTGCATATTGTCACTGCTAAAAGTATCGCATACATCTATATCAAAAATCAGTTATGCAGGAATATAACTTTTATGGCTAATTCACAAAATAACAATGTGTATGTCGAGATCCACACGTATCTGGAGGTATGCAGCAAAGTTTAAAACTCGATTTTTTTCAGGAAAATTATAATATACTACTGTAAAATACTTTATTTTAGCTGGAATTAATTTTCGCTTAAAAGACTTTTTGGGTATTTTGTGTGAAATTTATTTTCACTGATTTCTGACCAGTTGAATGTAAAATACAGGAAAATAGTATATTCGCTGGAGAATTTTATTTTCACTGAATCATTCCTTCAGCGAAAATAGCAAAAATTAATTCCAGGCGAAAATAAAGTATTTTACAGTACATATAAAAATTGATTGTCCCTATGGGCAACCAGATTCAAGATTTGGTTGTCTCATGGCAAAACAGGTTGCCTAGGGCAACAGGACAACCACCAATTTCAAACTCTAAAAGCATTTTATGTTTTTAGCTTGTTCTAGGAGTGTTCTATTACGCAAACTGACAATATCAGTATGTATGATGTCATTACCTGTTAAGATCCTCTACTTGTAATAGACGTTTGAGTTGATGTGCTGTTGTACTATTGACTACATTACACAATTCACCTACAGCATTCACTATAGCAGTAGACTTAGCAGTCTCATCTGAGAAAAAACAAAACACATGTGAGTGGTACATCAATACTGCCAATAAATACAGGTTACATCCTGGTATTTCTGAGGATACTGTGGAATACTTTATTTTCGCTGGATTCAATTTTCGCTGAAAAGGCTTTTTGGGCATTTTGCTTGGAATTTATTTTCACTGATTTTTGATGAGTTTAATGTGAAATATAGGGAAAAAAGTATATTCGCTGGATTTTATTTTCACGGAATCATCCCTTCAGCGAAAATAGCGAAAATAAATTCCAAGCGAAAATAAAGTATTCTACAGTATAACCAGCATCAAATTCCAATATTGAACCTCAATTTTGAGTACATCACTTGTTTTTGAATTCTAATAACTGCAGGAAATTTTCGAAAGGAAATAATTTAGAAATTTTTAGCGATGGGTAGGAAACTCATCAAAAAAAGTACAAAGAGTGTGTGAGACTTAGTGCAGTCATGTGACTTTCTGTGGTCATGTGACTTTGTAGTCACCCATAAGGCCTATGTCGTATGCAGTGATTACTGGTAGTAGTTTGTGAGGGCAACACAGTGCCACAAAACATTTGTATTATAGTGTTCATACAAAATTCCTTGCTTGTGCTCTTTATACCCAGATAGTGATTGGTTGGCTAGAACAACAATCATTGCCGTGATAATTACAAATGTTGATGATCAGTGCCATCAACTGTTCAGCAAGGCATTGCACTGTTCATGTATTGCATGTAAATATTCATGCTAATCTGCATAATAATAAATGTACCATCTGATTTGATATTTTTTGTAACAAATAATAACAATAACCTGCATTGTTTTTTCAGAAGTTAAAGCATGGCATTATTATGTACCTCGTATATACCTCATCTAGACATTAATTTCCCGTACCACGCCTGGCCCAATGCAACCCGCTTTCATCATACAAAACACGTCATTCTAAATTACGTCCTCTGTTTGAGACATATATGATAAAACCTTTATGAACTGGATATGGCTTTTGTGTTCTCGCAAGCTTGGGTGCTCACGCCGCACGACTTCAGGCCACAAAAGCCCTATCCAGTCTATGAAGAATATTACAGTAGCCAAGCATAGTGAAACCACCATGCTTAAAATGGCTTGGAAGAATACTGCAGAGTTCTGAATAACAAAATCAACTATTTTCAAATTTCACAAATTAAACATTTTTCATTTTGATCAAAAATTGTAACTAATGGAAAACTATGTACATTTGGTCCAAAACTAAAAATGAAACTATAGAAAAATGCATACAGAGGTGGAAAATGAGACACAAACTGAGACCTTTTTGAAATTACAGAAATTATGACTCACCTAATCCTAATAGTTCCCTGACTGTATGCAATACATTATGTGTTTCACCAAGTTTTGTGTAGATTTCATTCATCCTAGGATAGACACCATCCAAACCGTCAACATCAAATAGAGTCTGGAAATGAGCTATAATACTCTGTAATTGATGACTAGGCACCTTGTCTGATGTACCCTGTATAAAATATGTGAAAAATGCAGTCACAAAATTATACAAACATTACATGAACAAAATTATAAAAAACAGATTAAAAAACAGTTTAAAAGAAACTTTAATTTTGACTGGGTAATTCGGATAAGGTCAACAAGTGTTGCATTATCAAAAGATGAGTATGACATCATTGAAAGATAAGTATGACATCATTGAAAGATGAATATGACATCATTTAAGATAAGTATGACATCAACAATATGAATGACGTTATCAAATGACATTGAAAGATGAGTATGACATCATTGAAAGATAAGTATGACATCATTAAAAGATGATTATGACATCATTTGAATATGAGTATGACATCATTGGCATTGGCAAAAGATCAGTTTGACATCAACAAAATGAATGACATCACCAAATGGTGAATATGACATCATAACAAATGGGTATGACAGCAAAAGACCAAGTAGGATGACATTGAAATAAATATACATGTGCTGACTACAGGAATTGTTACAAAATTACCTTTCTGTCTACTCTGATATTTTGGACAGCTAGGGAGTCTACTGCTGCTCTTATTTCACTGACTGAGGTAGGTTTATTGAGAGAGGATTCTGGGAAGACTGGTGGTGACCATGGAATGAGAGATGATGCCAGACTGTTGAGAGAACTCTTGAGTTCCTGTAAACAATATAATAACATCCATCAACAATTTGTACTTTCAGTCTAATACATAGTTTAAATCATTAAGGCTTAGGATGTAAACACACTGGGTACATATGCCATATCCTTGCGTGCCTCACCGGTACATTGTACACTCATATGTCCAATCTGACAACCACAAAACTCACCAGGTACCCCCACATGACTAACCATGTGGCAAAATGCCTTACTTAGTCCCAGATATCCTACCAGGTACCCACATCATCTATAAGTTACCCATTTGCCTTACATACCAGGTACTCATATACCCCACAAAGTACCTCCATGCATACCAGATATATATATATACCCTACCATGTACTTAAGTGTACTTGAGTGCTTTACCAGGTACCCACACCACCCACAAAATAACGTTACTAAAATGCCTTACTTGACAGCTTCCAGCCTACCAGGTATCTATATGCCCTACTAGGTACCCATATGCCTCACACTGTACCCATATATGCCCAACAATTTAGCCATATGCCTTATCAGACACCCACAAGACCTACAAGGTACCCATAAATCTTACCATGTACCCATATGCTCAACCAGGTACTCATATGCCAAACCACATGCCAACGTGGTAACATGCCTTACTTGGTACCTACATGCCTACTAGGTATCTATATGTCCAACCATGTAGCCTTATCAAGTACCAACAAAACCTACATGGTACATTATATGCCCAATCAGGTACCCATATGCCTTATCAGGTACCCACAAAACCTACATGGTACATTATATGCCCAATCAGGTACCCATATGCCTTATCAGGTACCCACAAAACCTACATGGTACATTATATGCCCAATCAGGTACCCATATGCCTTACCAGGTACCCACAAAACCTACATGGTACATTATATGACCAATCAGGTACCCATATGCCTTATCAGGTACCCACTAAACCTACATTGTACATTATATGACCAATCAGGTACCCATATGCCTTATCAGGTACCCACAAAACCTACATGGTACATTATATGACCAATCAGGTACCCATATGCCTTATCAGGTACCCACTAAACCTACATTGTACAAGGTACACTATGTGTCCAACCAGGTACCCACTTGCCTTATCAAGTACCCATGCTCCTTACCATGTACCACTTGCCTTATCGAGTACCCATGCTCCTTACCATGTACCCACTTGCCTTTACAGTACCTATGCTCCTTACCATTTACCCACTTGCTTTTACAGTACCCATGCTCCTTACCATGTACCCACTTGCCTTTACAGTACCCATGCTCCTTACCATGTACCCACTTGCCTTTACAGTACCCATGCTCCTTACCATGTACCCACTTGCCTTTACAGTACCCATGCTCCTTACCATGTACCCACTTGCCTTATCAAGTACCCATATATTTTTTGTAACATTGAGAACGTGTGTATACATTGCACAACAATGCATTGTGGGTAATAACTAGACTTACCTGAATTTCTATCATTTGTTGTAACCAGTATTGTAACATAGGGACAATATGGTGAGTTGATTTATCACACCAGAGTGCATGTTTCTTACTCTGTTTACGCGGAGTGGACGGTAGTTTAGGTGCATCTGGATCATTGATAATAGCAAGAACTTCTCTCACAAGCTGAAAACAATAATAGCAGGAAGTCAGGAATTGTACATCACACTTTATAATACTTCCACTAACTGTATTAGATTAAAAATTCAAATTTTTCAATACATATATTATATACAGTGCATTATGGGATAGAAATA